CACTGGGTGTTATATGGAAGCCAATTTGACAATAAATTATATTTTTAAAAATTACATACATACATACATACATACATACATACATACATACATAGCAGACTACAAGGATTCTTTAAAATATAGTCAGATGGAGTCCTGATAATTCTGAGAATTATTTTTTCTGATTATTTTATTTGAATTAAAGTTCTTACTATCCAGGGGCTCCTGGGTGGCTTGGTTGATTAAGTGTCCCACTTCAGATAATATCATGATCTCACGGTTCGTGGGTTCGTGGGTTTGAGCCCCGCCTCGGGCTCTGTGCTGACAGCTCAGAACCTGGAGCCTGCTTCAGACTGTCTCTGGCTCTCTCTGCCCCTCCCCTGCTTGTACTCTGTCTCTCTGTGTCTAAAATAAATAAACATTAAAAAAATAAAGTTCTTACCATCCATAATGTTGCAACACAGTAGTCGTTTTTTAATTTTAATTGCTGACTTCTTCATTTCATGAGTAGAGTGGAAAACTATCCCTAGCCACTCACTGTTAATGTACATGACTGACTCTAACATTGGAGCAAAAATAAAGCTTGCCTTAGTAATGTGTTTTCTGAACTGGACTTCTGAAACTGGAGTGCGGGTACTCTGTCACCATGGGTATTTGTTTTTAAGTATTATTCTGAAAGGCTTAAAATGCTCTCTGTGGCTGCCTGCCAGGACATACAATGCACCAAACTCATAAGACAGACTCAATAAATATCAGTTGAAATCTGTTAAAAAGAAAACTACAGGGGCGCCTGGGTGGCGCAGTCAGTTAAGCGTCCGACTTCAGCCAGGTCACGATCTCGCGGTCCGTGAGTTTGAGCCCCGCGTCGGGCTCTGGGCTGATGGCTCAGAGCCTGGAGCCTGTTTCCGATTCTGTGTCTCCCTCTCTCTCTGCCCCTCGCCCGTTCATGCTCTGTCTCTCTCTGTCCCAAAAATAAATAAACGTTGAAAAAAAAAATTAAAAAAAAATAAAAAAAAAGAAAACTACAGGCCCAATATGGTGTCACTTAGGCCAAGTCTGGCAAACCAAGACTTAATACCTAACCTAACTGCAGTTTCAACATCCTGGGAATGTAACCTTTAAGTAGTCAATATGGGATGTCTTGGTCAATACTAGGAAATTTACCGATAGAATTCTTTTGCTCTCCTTAGGAGGACAGCAACCTTGCCAAACAATGCATTCCTTGTTAATAAATTCCTTTTTTTAAGGCCCTCTCTCTGCAGTTAAAAAACTTTTTGTTTGTTTAGTTTTGTGAATAATCTCTTTATTTGATATATGAGATACTGCCTGATTCATGAATGGGTTAATAAAGCCAATTTAACCTTCAGTTTAAAAAAAAAAGTGCTCTTTGTGGGACCGCATAATGATTAGCAGTACATTATCCAAGAAGATGATTGCAATAATTTATCCAAGAAGACGATTACAAATTATATGTTAGGATTAATATAGACTAGAAATTGTTGATTGTAATTTAAAAATTCATATTAACCTTTGTTGTGATTAAAAACCATATCTGTTTAAATCTTTCTTTTTAACAGATGTTTCAATTACTACCAAAGTAAATATAAAGGATTCATAGATTCTTTGGGACGAGAAATACTAACTACTTGATAAGGCAGGATTTTAAGCTTAGAATCAAGTAGAATCAAAGCATTTTGCTTTGCTGACAGTTTTCTTTGCTTGCAGTCCTTTTGTTATTAAAGATATATTTGACTAGTCTTAGAGCTTGAAAAATTATTTTACTGTTGAGCAGGGAACCATAGAAAATTTAGAGTGAGTAATTCAGCTGTCACACTTGAAACCTAAAGGTACAATTTGAAATTACACATCGACTGTTACAGAAATGAGCTTACTCATAAAATTTTGCTGCATACTGCAGAAAATTTGGCAGAGGTTTGATTTAATTCTGTCTCCTTGCCACAATTACTGATTATAATATAAATATATTAAATGCTGTTGTCCATGAAAAATATGGAATAAGAATTATTAAACATTTTTAGCTTGAAATATATTATCAGTTATAAAATGGAAAAAGAATGGTCTGGTAAATATACAGGAGCCCACACAGTTAATTCTGATGTACATCTGCAGCTCTAATCCCGTATCTCCAATTGACTACTTGACATTTCCACTTGGATGACCTTATTATTTAATGTACCTGTTATTTGATGCTGATTCCTTGGTCAGTAATGTAACTTCCAATTACAGTGTTTCCATGGGAAAAAAATAGACTCCACTCTGTGACATGTCTTATGGTGTAGTGAATAAAAACTATTATCATTTCGAAGGACATTTGTACTTCTTTCATTATCAGTACAAACTCTCCATATTCGAAATTGCATTCTTCTCTCATTTCAAACTCCCTGCAAGGCAGGACGGTTGGGCATAGTTGAAAGCACTGGACTTTTGTCCTACTTTGGATACTGCCACTAGCCGTATGACCCTCCCTAGACATCATTTTTCCTTATTTGTAAAATGACGGTGTTGTAGTGGAAGATCTGTAACATTGCTTCAGGTCTCTTGCTATAAAAGTTGGAAGTCATCAAGTGCATACCCTGGATGGGTTGGTTGTATGACTGAAATGTGGCCAGTTTTCTTCTGGTTTCAACAAATGGTCATCTCTTATCCATTCAGTTATCAAAGAGCCTTGTAGGGGCACCTGGCTGGCTCAGTCATTAGAGCATGCGACTCTTGATCTCAGGGTTGTAAGTTGGAGCCCCACATTGGGTGTGGAGATTACTTAAAAATAAAATCTTAAAAAAAAACAGTCCTGTAAATTGTTTTGTATTTTCCCTATTTATTCCCATTTTCTTTGCATTTTTGTTAATCTTAGTCCAAGTGTAGATCAAATAAGAACTTCCTGTGTAATTCCATTCTTTCATCATTCTAATTTATCCCCATACTGCTTTTTAGCTCATCTTCCCTCAAGACCAGTTACATCAAGTTACTTCTATGTAGAAAATGTTACTGGCCTACTTCTCTGTATCATATAACAGCTTGTTCATCCATTGAGCTTTCAAATCCCTAGCACTGATTTTCTGTTTTAATTATATTGGTCTCATTAATCTCATCCTTTTTTTTTTTAATTTGTGTATTTACCAGGTTATTCTCCTTACCTGAATGCCTTCTCCTTTCCCCATTCTGCCATTCTGAGAGTACCTTGTGAAACTTCACCCACTTTAGCAACAGGTGTCATTCTGTGATGGCTTCTTGTCCTTTTCTAAGGGTACAAAACCATGGCAAGAAATGGAAAAAGGAAAACACACCTGTGTATGGAGTGTTGCCGTGTGCCAGGCTTATTACCTCATTTGAATTTCTTAGCAGTCTTTTGAGATGGGTGGCCTTAATCATAACTCTGGGGCTCTAAAAGCGAACTAACCTCTACAAGATCACATGGCTAGTGAGCAGTTATAGCCGGGATTTGAACTCTGGCATCTGTTTACTTCTCCCTGACAAAAAAAAAAAAATGCCAAAGAACCATTAGTTGTCTTTTTTTACAGCCCCCCCCCCCC